CTTGAAGTACAACGGAAAGGTATTATGGAACGAAAGCTCTGGCTGATTAACACATAGATTTATCCTAAGATGGATAGGTCTTAAAATTACTTCTCAGGGGAAAAATGTCTAATCTCATTGCCAGAACATATTTAGAAAGAGAAAACAGAAAATCACATGGACATAGTGCTGACCAGAGAAGGCTACATTTAAGAAGTTTCTATTGCCACACACCTTCCCCAAACTTATATCATGTAAGATTCTAAATGGTATAAAACAAATCTACTTAGCTGAAAAGTCTGCACACTTCATGGGGTGCATAAAACTCCATGACGCTTCTTAAGATCTTTCAGAATAGCAAATGTAATTAGGCTTTTTAAGTTAGCAATTCAAACTCATGAAAGTATAAATTCTGGGCAGGATATTATTCTCGAATATCACACTGCTGGTTTTCCACCCTGAGCTGCCTCCAAGGGCCTGTGAGGAGACTGCTGAGCTGCTGACAAATTTATTAGAACCTGTGAGCTAATTTCCTTTCCATGAACACAGGGAAAGGAAGGTCAAAATAATTCCTTTCCATTAAGTAAATGCGTGGCTAAGGTACTGTTAAGTTGACTATTAAACCAATGTGATGAAAATGTGTTATTCAAAGAAAAGGCTTGATTTTTGGAGTAATTAATCATACATGTCACAGAATGTCCCAGGGGAACATTTTTGGCTAAGATTACCAATGCATCACATAAATAATGATAGTTCTCATTGCAGTGAAAATGATGCTGATATTAGAAAGCAACAAATCATTTTGTGATACTTATTTTTTAATGAGAAACTACTATATTTATTTAGTTTTGCAGTTCATTAGTTACTCTTAGTTTTTTTTTTTTTGTTTGTTTTTTTGTTTTTGGTTTTTCTCCGGTACCGGGAATCGAACTCACAACGTTGCGCTTGCTAGGCAGGCGCTGTGCCGCTGAGCTAAATCCCCAGCCCCTACTCTTAGTTTTTAATACAGATATAAAACCATAGTTCTAAGTCATAGCGCATGCTTTGTTTTCAGTGGAATTATACAGGTATCTCACAGAGGAAATGTGAGACTTGTGGTTCTGGTTTTGTTCTTATCGTTTGTAAGTAGCTGTCCTAGTAATCTACACTGATGCACTTATATTTACTGCATTACAGAGATCTTCAACCTCGCCTACACAGTGCGTATTACCGAGGAACGATGTAATTTGTTTCTCCAAGTTCCTGCACCATACCAGAGAAGTACCGGACAGCACAGCACTGCACAGTAGTGGAGAAGATTAAAATTTTCAATTATTACATCAGATGATTCTTCTGATGTTTTCTGTATTGCTCAGTTTGAAGAACACAGAATTAGACACTAGAGGACTCAGTGGAGAAAAGAGGAGTACACTTCACTGTGCTCTTCACCTTGGAAACTCGGATGTCATCACACTTAGTTCCCTCGCTTTCAAGATGGGTTTTGGTAGGGATTGAATGAGAAAAACTTGTGGAAAATATCTATCTGGAAGAGTGATTGACATGTACCAGCTACATTTTAGTTACATTGGAATACTTTTCTTAGACATAAAACAGGTCCTTTCTTGTAATAGATCCATTTAAAAAAAGCTTTAGCCTCCCTTATTTGTGATTCTTTGATTTACATAGACATGTTGTCATTTAATATTTTCTGAGGACCAAGGATTAGTATACATTAAGACATTCTTAAACTTCAGTGTTTATAAGGATCATCTAGAAACCTGAAGATAGAGATTCTAAGGCCTCTGTCATCAAATTTCACATTTGGAGAAGTACTAATTCAGACTGCTAATTTTTTTTTTTTTTTTTTT